TTAACAATGTGAATTTGGCACATAATGTCATACTTGGGGAATGTCACACAAAATGTGTTTTTCCCAAAATTCAACACTTTAATATCTGTGAAACCGCTCAACTGGGTCGACAACATTATGTGCCTCGTGTATAAGAAGCTCAAAGTAAATTATCCCGCCGCCACCTTCTCCAGTTCTCTGGATCTGCTGTCAAAGATCAGACATCCAATTATTTCAGGGACTCGTTCTGTATGAAGTTGAGCGACACTCCTGAGAGCCCATATTCACAGAACCCCTGAAAAATGTCAAACACACTCCCACCACCATATATTCTGAAAGATCTAATGACAGCAGAAACCTGGCATTTCTAATGAACAGTGTATCGTTCCACAGGGATATTTTTTTTTCCGTTAGATATGATGATCAGGTGGGATTTTTATTTTTTTTAATTTGATGAAATTGATGAGATGGAATGACCCAAAGGAGATGGAGACTATTTTTTCCCCCTCAGGGGAGAGCTTCATGGAGCTTTCCTTCAAGAAGTCAAATATTACATATAGTCTGTGATAAATACTTTTGTCATTGCATGTTTTAGTGAATTGACCTGACAGAGTATGAACTAAACATGGTCGCTGAATGTTTTCTGCAGGATATGGAAATGGATAAATTGTTGAATGGAATTTATCCAATTCAAATCCTTCACTGTACTTTGTGGTGACGCAACCTGTCAATACGGCTTCAGAGCGGTATTGACACTACATTGCTGTAGAAAATCACTGATAATACAGATAAATGCTGTGGAAAAACCTGTGACTCCTGATGGATGAATAGATGGATGCATTCTGAGCTAGATCATAAAAGGTGTGACCCTATTATGCTCTGTGTGTCACGTGCTGGATTTGACATCACAGCCTGTGTCTGCTGGTCATGCACCTCTCAATGTTTGTAGCCTGAAGTGTCGAGCAAGGGTTAAAGATGCAAGTGTAAAATCATGTCAGCGAGCGAAGTGACCATTGCGTTCGGTGTACATTGAGGGGTTTGCATTGACACAGAAGATGATGATTGTAATGTCTCTCCTTTCTTGTCACTTTGTTATTCACCTTAAGCCTCACTAAGGCGGTGGCCATTGACTGTGAGATGGTGGGAGTTGGTCCTGACGGAGAGGACAGCATCTTGGCACGTGTGTCAATTGTGAACCAGTTTGGGAAGTGCATCTATGACAAATATGTGAAGCCCACAGAGAAGGTAACAGACTACAGGACAGCTGTCAGCGGCATCCGACCAGAGGACATCAAAGACGGTGAGAGAAATGAAATGAGTTGCAAAGAACAACTTAAAGTCTCTTTGTTCCTTATGTTTTGTTTCTGATGTTTTATAAACCACGTTTGTCTCTCTGCAGGAGCGGATGTACAGATTGTACAGAGGGAGGTTGCTAACATCCTGGAAGGGAGAGTAGTGGTTGGACACGCCATACACAATGATCTAAAGGTAGCATGGATGTGATATCTGAAATGGAACAAATGTAATATTTTTCAGCCTGATTATGAGCAGCCGCAAAATATCTCCCGTTTCAGATTCTGCTCTTGGATCATCCGAAAAAGAAAATCAGAGATACTCAGAAATATAAACCCTTTAAGACGATCGTAAAGGTATGATGCAGTCACCAATGTCTCAACAGTTTCCACAGTGAATGTGTGAATGAATTATCACTGATAATGAGGCATTTTTCTTTTGTTTTAGAGCGGTCGACCCTCGCTCAAACTCCTTTGTAGAAAAATCCTCGATGTGAAGGTCCAAGAGGGCGAACATTCATCTGTAAGTCATTCGATAAACTCCT